CCTACCGATCGCTCTCCATCATCTTCCCTCCCTTATACTTCTATCCCTCCCTCCTGCGCTCTCTCTCCCATTCTTCATTCTCCCCCCCACCGCACACCGCCGCACCCTTACTCTCCTTCCCGCATCTCTTCTCCTCCCTCTCGCCATCCTACTCCCTCCCAGGAATTTGCTGCGCTGCCCTCTGCTGTTCCACCCACGCTAGCCCCCCCTGCCCGCCGCAGTGTCCCGTAACGCGCCCTGTGCCCTCTTGCACAGCGGTGGTCGCTCATACAAAGCGGCGCCAAGCCAGGCGCGGAGCGGCTTCGCTCGCCGAGGTGTCGTGACACCTGGTTGCGCAATCCAGCTGGGTGAATCTGGAGCGCGTGCAATTGGAACGATAGATTCGTGACACGGACGTTCTCGGCCGAGGGCGTCGTCTGACTGCAACGGTCATTGGATCTGGCAGAAGGAAGGAGGCGATGGTGAGACGGCGGGAGGCGTGGAGGGCATGGTTCGCCATGCCCTTTGAAGCGCTCACCCCGCCTCTTCCCCGCTGCATCGTTCCGCTGTCGCTGTTGTTTTGGTCGCGGGTAGCGGTTTTATTTTTTTGGAGCGATTCGCGCGTGGATGCCGAATGTTGATTCTTTCCGTCAGATTTTTGTTGTCGTTGAGCGAAACTTCGCTGACGCCTCCATCGTCGGTGAGAGCAGCAACAGCAGCAGCAACAGCAGCAGCAACAGCTGTACAAACCAGCCTCGGCAGCAGCGGCGAAATTCGCCCAGGAGGAATTTCGGTGAGGGGGGCAGGGTGAGGGAGGGCGAGGAGGAGAGAGGTAGGCGAGATGATGTAGGAGAGGTGAGGGTGAGAGTGGGGGAGGTGAGGGAGGGAGATGATGAGACGGTGGGAGGAAGTCGCGTGTCTTTATCTCTTGCGCGTGTCTGGGCAGGTGGCTCGTGATTCCCGCCTTGGGCCACGCGGCCTTGTTGTCGAGGTCGACAGCGGAAGGGGGGGTGGGGGAGTCGAACCTGAACTTCCAGTCCTCCGGGGGGTCGTGTTCTGCTGCCTGTCGCGTGTGCCGCGTTGGAAGCGGCGCTTGATGAGTTTGTGCTGACGCGCGACCCAGGGGAGGCCAGGGCTAAGGTCGGATGCGAACTTTTGGACAGCGAGTCATGAATTCATCTGTATATATTTATTTTGTTATCCGATCCGTATGCGCAGTGGGTTTTCTGTTGGCACTCCTGATTTATTCCCACACGTGAAACACTTAGGAAGCCACTGGAGCGATGCACTTTTAAATCTAGATTGATTTTAAATCAAAATTTTGCGCGTGTTTAGTTTGTTGTCCTTCCCCCGCACCTCCAATTAGCACAGTTGGATACGTACGGTGCGAAATAAGTTCAACATACATACATACATCACTGAAAATGGCCAAACATCCCAATGAAGGACGTTCCTGAGTTTTGAAACTCGGCTCGGCGTTGTTGATTATAATGATGATGATGGTGCTAATGTATTCGTGCTCCGAGTATTGTTAATGATGATGTGCTGTTGCGAGTATTAATACAGATGATAGACCGATGCTGGTAGTCGTGGTGATGATGAGGATGACACTGGTGGCGCTGGCTTTGATGGTGGTGCTGGCTGGGTCTTAAACTCGCACTCGATAAGTTCTGTAATAATTTCACTTAACAAAAATGATGGGCGCTTGCTAAAAAAAAAACATTGAGTTCAGACGAAGCCTCCGTCGATGGTCTTCTCTCGCACCGCTGCGGAGGAAACTCTCCGCTTGGGACGACGTCTGCGGTGCGTGAGCAGTGTGCACGGCGAGTAAGTGCGCGTCTCGACAAACGGAGACCTGGGGTGAAGTTACGAGCAGAACGCTTGGTGCAACGGGCAAGCCATCCATAACATCCCCTCCCCACACACACCACAACCCACCTCCCCCCCCCCAAAAATAAAAAAATACAATGGAATTGTATTTCTTGCCAGACGTATATTTAGTTTTTGCCCCCCCCCCATCTCTTTTTCCACCATCTCGATGGCTTTGTCAGGAAATCCTGAAATTACTCGATTCTGCTCGCCGGGCCGTTGCAGCCTCCAGCAGCGGCAGCAGCAGCAGCAGCGCCTATTGAGCTGTCTCCGTGAGCGATGCGGTGCAGAGGTCGCGAATCGAATCAGCGGTGGAAGATTAAAAAAACACACAAAGACGAAGACCGCCACCCTCGTGTAGTCTACACAAAGACAAAGATCCCCCATATAGCCTCAACAAACTGTAGGGGCAAGTGCTGTTAGCGAGCACCTGTGAAGGCCGACACGGCGTACGGGGTGTGTTGGGGGTCGGTGTCTGGAGATGTGCGGGAGGAGTGGTGTGGTCACTCCCAGTGCGTGGCGGTGGTGGCGGTGGTGGCGGTGGTGGCGGTGGTGGCGGTGGTGGCGGTGGTAGCGGTGGTGGTGGCGGTGGTGGTGGCGGTGGTGGTGGCAGTGGTGGTGGTGGCGGTGGTGGTGGTGGTGACGGTGGTGGAGGTGGTGGTGGTGGTGGTGGTGACGGTGGTGGTGGTGACGGTGGTGGTGGTGGTGGTGGTGATGCTGGTGGTGGTGATGATGCTGGTGGTGGTGGTGACGGTGGTGATGCTGGTGGTGGTGGTGATGCTGGTGGTGGTGGTGGTGACGGTGGTGGTGGTGGTGGTGGGGTTCCTCCGGGGTACTCGGCTCCGGTGTCCTTCCGCGCGAAGGTGAAACGCTTGTCAATGCCATTGGTCAGACATCCCAATGGACCCACCTCGTCACTGAATGGACCCACTTCGTCATTGAATGGACCCACGTCGTCACTGAATGAACCCACCTCGTCACTGAATGGACCCACCTCGTCACTGAATGGACCCACTTCGTCATTGAATGGACCCACCTCGTCACTGAATGAACCCACCTCGTCACTGAATGGACTCACCTCGTCACTGAATGGACTCACCTCGTCACTGAATGGACTCACCTAATCATTGAATGGACCCACCTCGTCACAGAATGGACCCACCTCGTCACTGAATTGACCCACCTCGTTACTGTATGGACCCACCTCGTCATTGAGTGAAACCACCTCGTCACTGAATGGACCGACCTCGTCACTGAATGGACCCATCTCGTCAATAAATGAACTCACCTCGTCAATGCTCCCTCCTGTTCACGCATTTGCCTGTCTCGACCACGCATCTAAGAAAAATCACTCCGCTGTGTTCCTAGAGACGAGAATTCTCGTGAAATTGTTCGTTTTTTTTACGTTAAAAACATTCAAGCGATGCCTGGGATGAGCGCGTGTCCTGCGAGTGATGTTGAAGTGCACCTAGCCTGACACAAGCGCCGTGGTGACGTAAGCGCAACTTGGTAATGAACGGCGGCTGTGTGTTTTGTATTTAAACGGTGCACGGATACAGCTCGACCCGTGGAGTAGCCGTCGTGGTCACTGTCGTCATCGTTGTTTGTGGTCGATATCTAAATCGTTATCATAATCATCATCATCCACGGCAGCCGCACCATCGGTAACCACGAGGAGCAACAGCGCCAATCGTTATTTAATGCGCAACATATTCAGCAAAATCAACAGCAGCAGCAGCGAGATGTCATCTCTCTCGCCTGGTATGCAGGAGGTCGTGGGTTAGATCCCGACTCTGACGCACGCTGTGTATTTGGAGTTTGCGTATTTTTCCCCCGCGGTCGCATGGATTTTTGCTCCGGGTCCCCCCGGGTTTTCCCTTCACATTTTAGAAAGGTGCGTTTTCGACTTTCTGGCTGCGTTAAATTTCCAGACGATCAACCACTTCGCCGAGCAACAATTGTTGGCTCGGTCTCTTCTGACAAAAGACCCAATTAGCTCAGTGGGCCTTACCTGGTCAAATAAATACGTTCACAATGAAATCGAAGTAGATTCGTCCGGGTACCGTAGGAGAAGGCACCACGTGGCGAAGCTGCCCGACTATCTGGGACGTTCGATAGCAGTTTTCCGATGGACATACGGGGGAGGGGGTGCTTCGGTCTAGCAACGTGGAATAGCAACCACTGGCTCTGGGAGAGCCAGTTGAGATGATGGACTTTTGTCTCGTTGGTTAGAAATGTTTGCATGAATAAAAAAAAAACTCTGGTAAAAAGTGAAACCTGCAAACAGACGGATGTGATGTCATTGGGATGCCGTGTGGTCCCTTTGTTTGTAACAGCACAGGAACGTTCACACCGCTGCGCTTGTCATAACCGTACAACAATCCAGAACAATAAATAAAGCCTTGACTTAATAATCGTCCCCATAAATCTTGTAATTTATTTTTATACTGCGTTTGGAAGCAAAAGTAGAAACCCGTAACTCAAGGAGATGTTCCTATACCACCGGCCAAACAAACAAAGTTGCTGGTGTGACACACTATCGCAATACCACCCACCAGCCATGGTCAATCCACTGCTGGATGAATGCCTCTCCAATCCGTAGCCATCTCTCGCGGTGCAATCAGTACTATGTCGGTGAATGGGTATATCTGAACCGCTCCTGCACTCTGCCCCCCCCCCTCCCCCCACTTCACACCACCTCCCTGCACTGAACAACGTGGCTGAACTATGGTCAAACAACCCTCCTCAGGACCGACACGGCGCAGGGGAGAGGCCTTCATTCAGCAGTGGATTGGCACAGGGTTGTACATTATTATTATTGTTGTTGTTGTTACAGGCAGAGGTGAGAGGGACGTCACGCCCCACCACCACCACCACCCTCCACTCCAGCTGTGCGTCCCACGCAAATCCGCGGGCAGTGCTTGCGTTTTTATAAACTGTGAGAGTGGCAGGGTGGCAGTGAGCGCGCCGCGCTATGATCCCGGCGACCCGAGTTCGATTCCAGGTCACGGCCAACGCCAGAGACGATTATCTGAAACGGTGATGGGCTTCGCCCCTAGGTCGACTCAGCCTCCAGTGAGTAGCTGGTGCGGTGTGGAGTAAACATCGCCACGAGGGAGACAAAGGCGGCCGGGCGTGGTGTTGGCCACCCACCTTCTCGTGTGCCGTGCCGGCCTTCATAGGTGCTCGCTAAAAGCACTTTCCCCAACAGCCTCTTCAGGCAATACCGGGGAACTTTATCATTGTGTTATACTGTATATGAAGTATACTTAGCAATCGTTTTCTCAAAGTGAACAGTTGTATAAATAGTACATTTTTACGAACCAAAAACAAATGTGCGAGCGACAGTCCATTCAAGTGCTTATGGAAAAATGAACCTGATCATCATCATCATCATCACGATCCATGGGAGAGACACCCCGTAGGTGTCCAATGCACGTTTCGTCTTAATTTGGGGATAAAATCAACAAACAAAACTCTCCCAAGAAGGGGCGATACCAGCCAAGGGCGTGTTGCCTTGCCGTGATTACAAGCGGGCCGCGAACACCGGAGGACGCTCGCAAAGAATATGGAACAAACCAAAAACTGACGAGTGCACAAGGAAGAGGCATGGAGAGCTCGGTGCATGCTGGGAATTACAATGAGAAACCGACCAAAAAGGGAACAAAACAAATGTAAAAGCGGACTAGGGCAGGACAATTGCTAAGAAGGGAATCGTGGCTGGTGGACATCACGCAGTGTAGACCGGTGACAGCAGCAGCCACATGATGAAGGGAACGTGCCCGAAACGACGACCATCGTGGAGATGGCGCGGAGAGACGACGTGCAGTGGTGAGATTGTGACATGGGAAGGTCACGAGGCATGGTGAAGATGTTGCGGCCTTCATCCAACAGTGGATAGACCAAAACTGCTGCTGCTGATGATGATTGTCAATCCATTGCAGTGGATGAAGATCATGTTGGTCATGGGGGCTGTTTAAGGACACCTCCACCGTTCTGGCCAATGAAGGTTTGTCAAATCGGGAGGAGGGGACATCGACCTGTTCAGATCTCACTCTTCGCTGATGTTTAGCTGTGGACGGAAATCAACCTCGCGTTGGTGGGATTGTACCACAGTGCTCTAACCACTGCGCCACCGCTCCCTCTTACTCGTAAGGCCACTCGTTGGTGGGCCCGAGGCGGGGCGAGCCGTCCGCGTGGTTCTCCGATGCGAGCTTGACCCCGACTGACCCGCGCGCATTCGCAATAGGAAGTCGCAAAGACAATACGAGAATCCTGTCTCCTATTGCCGCCGTAGCCTCGCGTTGTTTATCGCCGCCTCTCCCCGCAGTCGCTCGCATAAGAGAGCGTGGTGGGTGGCACAGACGCGCGAGGTCCCCACGCGGTGGACAGAATTGATCGGCAAGCATCACCGCCGCTGCCGCGATGCCCAGCGTCAAGGGACTGGTGATTGGGTGGCGCACGTGTGCGGGGGGGGGGGGGGGGTTACCCAGGACGGGCATTGAACTGGCACTCGGAAGGTCGGCGACCAAGGGGAAGTCCTAATACGCACGGTGGTAGTGATAATGTGGAAGAGGTCCTTGAAGAATGCATAAATCGAGTAACCGGAGGTAGACTTAATGACGTCATGAGACTGCACGAGCAGCCTTCGTGGGTCAGGTGTCAACTTTGCAACGGCTGAAGGGATCTAGCAGAAGGAAGGAATCGATGGCGAGCTGTGGTGGCATCGACGGGATTGGCCGTGGTGGCAGACAGGGCCGGTCGCGACCACCAAAATAATGCCGAGGTAATTACCCACGAAAGCCTCGCCGAGCCTCGGGGCTCATCTTCAGCATGGCCCCGCGTTGGCGTGTGCGAGAAATTGTATTCCTGGGCGTTTGGCTTCGTGTCGGCGGAAATCAGAGTCCATGGAAAAGAAAAAAAGAACCACATCAAGCGTTCGAGGGGCGTGGTGCTCCAGAGGGGTACACTTACTAAATCCACGCCAACAACACCCGGTAGGGCCCGGTAGTTACCCGCCCAAGTACCAACCAGGCTCAACTCTAATTAGGCTTCAGGGCGATTCGGCCATAAGCAGCAGAGTTTTTCGCCCGTCCCAGCGAGCGAGTCTGTGCACGGACATTGTAATTATTATTATTATTCAGAGCGTTTTCTTTTTACATCTACTTGGCAGGCGAGACCGACCCAGACGCTGACATCTCCGCTTGGCTGCGCTCTGCATTTCGTCTCGTCCCCGAACAAGTGGTGGCTTTTAAAGCTGAAGTGTAATGATGAGTGCTAATATGTCATTTAGTCAACAGGCCAGCCACCCAACTAGCTAGCCAGCCACACAGCCACGCAGCAACCCAGATAGTCATATAGCCAATCACCCACTTAGCCAACCACATATCCAGTCACTCGGCCAGCTAGTCACTCTCCACCAGTCACTCCATCTTGTCAGGCATCTGCCCAGTCATCCAGCTCGCAAAATAACCCAGCCACCAAAGCCAGCCGCTCGGTTGAGCCAGCCATCTAACCAGATAGTCAAGTCACCCAGCCAGTCACCTCTCCTCCCGCCCACTCAACCACCCACCCCACCCACCTAGCAGTCCAGAATATTACCCAGCCAGCCAGAAACTTACTCAGCCAGCCTCTCTTCAAAATGTCTTGGCTAACTCCCATTCCTCTACCCCCCACCTCCACTGACTCCGCCCGTCTGCATCTCTTGGTGTAATTTCCTGTGTGACTGGGCTGGGCTTAATACTTTACTGGGCTGCGCTCGGTTTTCGAGAGAGAGTGGGAGAGAGCGCGGCTGGGGTGGTTGAGTACCCGCAGTGAACGCCAGGGAATATTTGAGTCGCTCCGAGTTGAGTCCGCGGCATAAGAGGAACGGCGAGAAGGGCCGAGTTCGCGCTCACGGGTCCACGACAGCTTCGCCTCCAACTTGGCCCGTCTCGCCTTGGCGTCCCCGTCACCTCGCGAGGTACTGCCGCTTGCTCATCCTCGCTGCGCTCCGCTCAGCTGCGTTGTGACCGTGGGGAGCGTGTGGTGGTGGTGGTGGGGGGGGGGGGGGGGGGCATCGGCCACTCGCGGTAGCGGTCAGCGCGACACTGCGCACGGCGATCTGAAAAACCCGGCCGCCCGAAATCGACGACGGTAGCGGCGGCGAGTGATATCTGAACCGGCACTGCCGGCCCAACGCCCCGACCCTCTTTTCTCTCCCAGCTTTACTCACTCGCACTGCCCAGCGTGGTGAAGTATGGTCAAACGACCGGCACGGCGCGGGGGGGGGGGCCTTCATCAAGCAGCGGATTGACAGTGAGGCTATACATTAGGTGATTCATATTGACAGTCATATTCGGTTTCGTATTCTTTCGAGGTTTCAAATAGATTTGCTGCGGATGATTTGTTGCTCACGAGCGCCTGCCGCGCCTTTGATGTTGTGCGGGACGCCGCACGTGTGCTGTGTGTCATCTGAAGGTGGACTCGGAGTGAACGTCGAGCGCATGGCAGCACGTGGGTGCGCTTGCGAGTACGGGGTGATCGGTTTAAGCATCATTTAGAACCTTTCATCAATCCACCGCTGGGTAAAGGCCTCTTCCCTCTACCTTGTTGGTGATGAGGGTTGGTTCGCCATACTTCACCACGCTGGTCAATGCGTGTTGGTGCGAGGCGGTGGGGGGTTGTGAGGGCAGCACTGGTGAAGATAGCCCCCGCCCCTGACGATAGACGTGGCCGGGAGTCGAACTGGGTTTGCCGGTATTCCTTTGTGCGCATGCGTTTGAACGTGTCTCTGTGTGTGTGTTTCTGTGTGAACGTATCTGTGTGTGTCTCTGTGTGAACGTGTCTCTGTGTGTGTGTGTCTCTGTGTGTGTGTCTCTTTTCCGGCCTTCATAGGTGCTCGCTAACAGCACTTGCCCCTACAGTCTGTTAAGGCTATACGGGGGATCTTTGTCTTTGTCTTGTGTCTCTGTGTTGTGGGGAGCGATAGTGCAGCGGTTAGCGCGCTGCGCTATGAACCTGGCGACCCGGGTTCGATTCCCGCTCACGGCCAACACCAGTGACGATTATCTGAACCGGTCCAGGGCCTCCCCTAGGTCGACTCAGCCTCAATGAGTACCTGGTGCGGTGTGTAAACATTGCCACTAGGGAGACAAAGGCGGTCGGGCGTGGTGCTGGCCACCCACCCACCCCCTCGTGTACCGTTCCGGCCTTCATAGGTGCTCGCTAGCAGCACTTGCCCCTACAGTATGTTAAGGCTATATGGGGGATCTTAATCTTTGTGTCTTGTGAACGTGTTACTGTATGTGTGTGTCACTGTGTGTGTGTACCGCTTATGTAATGCACAGAGATGATAGAGATTGTAATTCTCTGTTATGGAAGGTTCCGAAATGAATTTGGAACACAATGCAGTCGAGCACGGAGCTCATGATCAGAAGGGGGGAATATTATATTTCCTTTTCTCATTTGGATCACAAATTACATCTGGGATATTTGATCATTGGGACAGGGCCAGCTTAAAGGTGTTTTTTTGTTCTCAATATAAATCTGGAAGCGTTCATCGGCGATTAGAGAGGGCTGATTCCTGGTCAGCTGTGAGTTAAGAAATTCGCCTCCCGTTGAAGTGCGTCGCTGAAGCCCGATCGAGAAATGGAACGGAGTACGCTCCTACACACTGCCACTGCGATGCAATGGTGCCCGGTGCCGCTGTGGGCAGCATGGGTTCATGCCAAGCGACGGTGGAAACGTTACCGAATTTTTCAATCCCGGTCATTGTTCAACTCGGCTCGTCATCATCATAATCATATCTCCGCGGTCGATAAACAAACAAACAAACGAACGACATGTCCGTAGCACATTGTCAAGAGGGCATCAGTCGCCGTGTTGTGTGGATAGACTGACCCCGTCATGGGAAAGTGAAAGTTCTCACTCGCGCAGGTTTGGGTCTGCGTCGCCGCCCACATTACTCGTTCGAGCAGGGGGAGATGCTTGGGGTTGGGAGTGGTGGGGGGGGGGGGGTGATTGAGATGTGGGGAGAGTGCTCGTGCCTGGACACGATAGCGACGGAGCCCTTGCGCTCCACGCGGCGGGCTCGTCACTGCTCCGCCTGCATTCGACTCGCGTAGCCAGGGTGTGGTGCCACGCGCCTACGGTTAAAGCGGTTTGGAGGGAATGGTTGGTGGTCAGGAGATGGCAGTACAGCAAGCCGGCTTCGCGAGGTTCCCACCTGCGTCGCGGGACCACGAGCGATTCCCTCCACGTACGCGTGGTGAGGTTTTTTTTCCCCCCTCCGGTTTCACCGTTGTCGTCCCGCACGAAGCGGGATGGACATTATGATTATTATTCATTAAACAAAGGATATGGCCAACGATCCGATTGCAGGACTCTAGAGAAGAATACTTTTCAACACTCGGGGAGTTTGGCTTTCAGGAAAATACAGGTTTCATTGTTCGTGTTGCGCGAGTGTATTGCACGTGTGTGGTTTAGGTCGACTCAGCCTCAAATGAGTACCTGGTGCGGTGTGTAAACATCGCCACTCAGGAGACAAAGGCGGCCGGGCGTGGTTGCTGGCCACTCACCCCATCGTGTGCCGTGTCGGCCTTCATAGGTGCCCGCTAACAGCACGTGTTCCTACACTCTGCTGATGATTTCACACCACAACCGGTTCAGATAATCGTCACTGGTATTGGCCGTGAGCAGGAATCGAACTCGCCTGCTGAGACACGCAAGTCAATTGGTCCATCCAGCCATCGCTATGTCTGTCCGTGTATATCATTCTGTCTGTCTGCCTCTCCGTCCCTTCGTCCATGTGTCTGTTCGTCTACCCGCTGTACTCTCTATCCTTTGGGATGATTGGTCATCTGTCGATGTCAATAGTTAACGTCGGAATGTAATCACATTGTCACCACAGCGGCAGATGAATACACTTTGTTTTGTTAACCCCTCTGTCTATCCATCCGTCTATCTGCCCACGAGCCTTCCTGTCTCCCTGCCTGCCTCCGAGGTTTCTCTGTCTGTCCGTCTTTCATTGTGCAAACGAGGATACGAATACAAGTCACCCCAAGTTTGAAAGACTCCAAGCGTTTCTGGGAGCCCTGCCACTAGAATGTGGAATCGCTGTAGGAGACCACGCTCCTCGATTATGATGATGATGATTTACCGCTCACAGGCAGAGAAGCATTCATTCGTCCGCTCGGTGGAGTGCGCCCAATTGATTCTATCTGCTGGGAGACGGTAGCCGGCGGCTAGGAAACCGGGTGCCACCTGGTCTTACCACGGCAATGTGGGATTTCCATCATCCACGTTAAAGCACCCACCGATTTTGGACACGTTCATTTATTATTTGGTTCTTTCGGTAAAGTCACGTAGAAAGAAAATAAATTAAATATTTTCTTTTTACGTGACTTTACCGAAAGAACCAACGAGTAATTCCTGCAGTCACGAAAGCTTCAAATCATGTTCATTTATGTTTGTTGCAATTTTTAACTTCGGAATCAGTGGTGTGGTGTTGGGGGAGCGGTGGGGCGGCTTGCTTTCTGCGCAAAAAACTCTGCGAACCTGAGTTCGCTTGCCGGCCACGGCCAACATTGGTGGCGGGGGATATCTGAACCTGCCCTCGACAACCCTGCCTTCCAAGAGGTCATCATCCTTCATCTAGCAGTGGATTGCCCAGGTGGCCTCTAGATAAACTTCTGAATCGGCATCGTTCCATCGTGGCTCCCCTCCCATCCCGCTACCCCTTCCCCCAGCCCACCCCCCCCCCCCCCCAACATACGAAACATTCCTGGCAGCGTCGTGACCGCGCAGCTCTCCGTGTTCACCAATCATCATGCGCGTGCGATGTGTGCAGGCGATTTGATTAACATGGCAGTGGAAAGATTGGCAGAGACGGAGCAGCGGGCCGCGCGAAGGGTCACTGAAATATTGGAAGGCCCAGATTTTAGGGAATGTCGGGCAGGGCAGGTGTGAAAACTAAAAACTCTTTCCATTCTCGCCCTACCCTCCCATGCCCTCCACCCCCCATCCACGCCCCCCCCCCCCCACCTATCCCTCCGTGCATTATTGACGGTCAGAATCACATGTTGTAGAAAAAGGGGAACACATGGGCATAGTTACGTATATTGCCGAATTATTGTTGTTGTCACTTATTTGCACGAGAAAACCTCGCTGGCTCTCAATTTTTTTCAGGAGGCTCCTGCTGTGTTTCGCAGTAGGGCGGCGATGTTGCTACGTATTCCCCCCCCCCCCCCCAATTGAGTAATTTGAGGGCAACTTTAGCAAATTTGGAAAACATCCAATCCACCTGGGCGCCAGTTGCCGCGGCGTTGGTAATTGAGACGTCTGCACGCCAAACATCTGACACAAACGAGTTAACGTTCGTTCAAATGCGTGCCGGATCCGTTCCCTCCACGGGCTATCGCCTTGTTTTAAACAAAGAAGATAGTCTCTCTGCTTGAATTGTATCTGAAGCGGCTATCGCCTTGTTTTAAACAAAGGAGGTAGTCTCTCTGCTTGAATTATATCTGGAGCGGTGACGCAGTGGTGAGTGTCATGCATCCGACGGCCGGCCTAAATTATATTCCTGGCCACGGCTAACATCCGTGGCTTGAAAATATTTGAACGAATCCTGCACCCCCCCCTCCACCCCAGCCATCATCAAGCCGTACCGACCAACGTGGTGAAGTATAGTCAAGTAACCCCCCATGAGAGAAACTACTTTTATTTTACCAGGTAAGGCCCACTGACCTATGAAGCTCTTTGTCACAAGCGATCTGACCATACGCCATGGAGAGGCTTTCATGCCGCAGTGGATTTGATATATTTATTATTACAAATAATTATATCATACTTGACCTATAATTAGTCAGTCTCACTGGGTTTCCGCGAACACATCGTGAACACTAACTCCGCTTATTTGTATTGAAACGGTGCCTGGTGGCCATCATTCCCCAAGTGCTGTGACTAACAGGCTGCCTCAGACGG